TGAGGAAGAGCTGCACTTGAGAAGACACGCGAGAGACTTATGCAGAAATCTCTCAAGGTGATTTCTTTAGAGGAAGAAGAAGTAAGAGTAAGATTTGCAAAGGAGGGTGAAACTGATGAGAAAGATTTAGAGAATAATGCGTTGGGAATGTTGAATGAGATTCAAAGATTGAGCCGTGAAGCTCAAGAGGTGAAGATAACAGGAGAGAATGCACAGTCGGAAGTTGTGAAAGCAATGGCTGAGATCGAAAGCACAAGAGATAAGATTAGAACAGCTAAGATTAGGTTGGTGGCTGCAAGAAAGATGAAGGAAGCAGCCAGAGCGGCTGAGGCGGTTGCAATCGCAGAGATTGAGGCTGTTACTGGAAGTATAAACGTTGAAAAGGCTGAGGCTGTGACTATCTCTGCTGAAGAGTACGCTCTGCTTGCTTGTAGTGCTAGAGAGGCAGAGGAAGAGGCGAGAAAGCGAGTGGAAGATGCAATGTCGAGAGTTGAAGAAGCGAATGTTTCAAAGATGAATGTTCTGAAGAAAGTAGACGAAGCGGCTGAAGAGATTGAAACCAGCAAGAGGGTTTTGGAGGAAGCTGTGGAGAGAGTTGACGCTGCAAATGCTTCAAAACTCGATGCAGAAGAGGCGCTGAGAAACTGGCGGTCAGAGAATGGACAGAGGAGAAGATTATCTTCTTCGGTGAACAACACTTCTAAGTTCAAGAGCAAAAGAGAGTCAACCCGTCTGATGGATGTAAATGGTCTGCATCTGACATATGATGTTGTTCACGGGTCATCATCTTCTTCAGTCCCTGTCTTGAAGCCAACAATGTCAATAGGGCAAATACTCAGCAAGAAGCTACTTCTTGCAGAGGATTCAGATATGAATGTTGCTAATGAGAGAAGAAAAATGTCATTGGGTCAGATGCTTGCAAAGAATAGCAATAGTGATAAAACTGTAAGCAAGAGGAGTGAAGGGAAAGAAAACGGGAAAAGGTCGACGACTCGAAAGAGAAAGAGTTTCGGGTTTGCTAAGATCTCTGTGTTGTTGAACAAAGAGAGCAAGAATAAGAAGAAGAAGAAAAAGATAGCTTTGAACTTAAGGTGATAATTTGAATCAGTGTTTTGACGTCTTGTTTCTGTTTTGGTACGTGAACCAGTAGTTTAAGGAAACAAAATGTATCATCAAGTGCTTTATTATAATGCTAATCTAGGCTAATTAATCCCCAGTACGACCATATTAGCCTTGACAGAGAACGAAACAGAGAAGATGAAGTATGGAATTTTTCAGTCACTTACAAAGTCTCTTTTATACCCTAAGTTTATGTAAGATACATTAGGAGACTAACCAACTCATCGTATGGCTTAAGGGACTAATCAACTTATCAATTTAAGTTTTTAAACTGAGGCTTGAGGTATCTAATATTCCTTTAATATCCAATGAGACAGAACATGATTAGGAAATGGTTTTGTAAACACATCTTCTAGTTGATTCTCTCTTCGAAAGTGTAGATTCTAGATCAAACAAGCTTGGATTCTTTTTCTAACAATATGACTTTAGTGGGTTTTATGAAACAATGGATTGTTGTTGGCAATGTGTATAGCTGCAGACCTGCAGCAGTAGCCACATATGATATAGCATTGACACTTGCAACTCAACATATTCTCCTGCCACACGAATTTCACAAATTGCCAAAACTATGACATGGATTTGTAATTTCCTTCGGCATATAGAGTACGCACTACTAAAAGGATTATGAAATGATACCTCTGTTTTAGACAACTCTCTGACACCTTCCTCAAGCAGAAAAACAATTGTTTGTTTTAATTAGACAAGAGATTTAAATGACTTACATCTCAAGAAATCTACAAGACTGCCTCATCAATAACGTACTGATCGAAACTACTGAAACTTTCCATCAGCTTTTCATTGAAAGAAAACCAACAGAAAACTTTGAATAAAGAGTTAACTGAGAACTTAGGGAAAGACGAGATAGGCTTGACAACAAGAAAACAAGCAGTCATAATACTAAAGGAATCTGCAACACAGACACAAGTAATGCTAATTTCAAAAGCCATATGTATGAACTAGTAGAGAAAAAGAAACGATATAGAACATTCTTGTTAACCCATATTCTTAAGAGCTGACTTGATTTTCACATAGATAGACTTAGGAAAGAGATCCTCAGGGATTGGGCAGTCCACCATGTCCCAGAAGACGCCAGTCTCAGCCGCGGCCAAATCGCTTGTGGAGCAAGACATGGTTATTGGTGTTCTATGTGTTGAAGATGACTCACCCACCTTTGTGTAATCTTCTGTCTCATAAACATCATCGTTTCTGTTATTAGTTGTCTTGACCTTGACAATTGAAGATTCTCCTTGAACTGTTGACTTTCCTTTACTTTGCACAGTTGAAACTGAAGTACTTGTCCACTTTTTGGCGACAGGTTTTGAGATCACAAGCGATCACTTAGGACAGAGATCCTCCGGGATTGGGCAGTCCACTATGTCCCAGAAGACACCAACATCAGCCACGGCAAAAATATCGCTTGTCCAGGATTTCGACGAGTGTTAATAAATTAGGGCTACATCTTGTCAAAGTTATGAGAAAACCCTTTTTTATTGATTATGAGAAAGGTATTTAAATTACATTACACGAGAATATGAAATATCACACAAATCATAGAAATATGGAAAAATCCAATATCTTAATAGATCTTGATATAAATAGTACTATTATTAAAGCACATTCAATATAGTATACCATTACCAGAAAGAAAAAAACAATTGCTAAAATTAAAAAACAATATAATAATTTTACTTATAAAATTTTGGAAAATATATACAACTCTTTAACATTTATCTCCCCATCCTACCAAAAAAAAAAAAAAATTTTATCTCCCCAAAACACGAGATTTTTTCTTTTATTTTGTCGGTAAACACGAGATTTAACTTTAACCTAATAGGCTAATATAGATCATAATTAAAAATCAAATAATAATAGGAAAACCAAAAAGAAGAAGAAAAAAAAAAGGAAAATAGTCACGTTTATTGTCGGTGACCCGAAGCAACGAAAGAAAGAGGAAGGTCAACAAATTTCTAATCCCGTATATAAATAAATCTATCTCCTTCCCTCTTTATTTATTAAAATCAATCAGATTTTTCCCCAATTCTTCAATTTCTTCAACCCTAATTCTTCTCTGTTTCTCAGATCTACCAAAACTTGATCAATTCAATCTCCAATGGCTTCCTCAGCACCACCAGTCCTCCCAATCTCCAATCCCCAAACCGTTCCATCCGCCGCTCCTTCCTCCGTCGAATCTCAACCACCGATCGCAACTCCAGCTTTCCGCAATTTCATCAATCAGATCACCGAAACCGTCAAAAACGGTCTCTCTAAGCGTCGACCTTGGGCTGAGCTCGCGGATCGTTCCGCATTATCCAAACCTGAGTCGATCTCCGACGCTGCTGTTCGTATCCGCAAGAATTACTCGTATTTCAAGGTTAATTACCTCACCGTCGCTACAGCGATCGTCGGATTCTCTCTCGTGACTCATCCTTTCTCTCTCGTTTTCCTCCTCTGTCTCCTCGCGTCGTGGCTCTTCCTTTACCTCTTCCGTCCCACGGATCAGCCGATCGTCGTCTTCGGTCGTACATTCTCCGATCGTGAGACGTTAGGGTGTTTGATCTTGTTCAGTATCTTTGTGATTTTCCTCACCGATGTTGGATCTGTTCTTGTTTCGGCTATGATGGTTGGTGTTGCGTTGATCTGTGCCCATGGTGCTTTTAGAGCTCCGGAAGATCTTTTCCTTGACGAGCAAGAGCCAGCAGCTACCGGATTCCTTTCTTTCCTCGGTGGCGCCGCCTCATCTGCTGCGCCAGCTGTTATCGCCGCTCGCGTGTAAATGCGACTCCGATCTACCATTCCCTCGCTTGGGTAATCTTTTTTTTTTTTTAACTTTTGATAAATCTTTCTATATGATTCGTTTGTTGAATTTGATACTTAGGAACAATAAACGAAAAATTGTGGATCTGGCCTAATTTTGGTTCTTGTTTATGGGGCAATGCTATAGATGAAATATATACCTTTGAATGATTTTGATTTGAAGAAGTGTTACTGCCGTTTTGTGTCAATCTTTAGCCTCTTTAATATACAAAGAATTGGATCTGTTTCGTTTTCAAACTCAAAAATTCAATTAATCTGTTTATTATGACTACATTGCATATAGACAATAAAAAGAGTCAAATTTGGATACATGTGTATGCAAGATCCATCCAATTTTTTGAAAAGCTTCCATCACAGAGATGATATAAAAGAAGTTTTTTGAGCTGTTTCGTTGACTGATGATACTAAGTAAAAGCTGAAGACCTGGATCAGAGAAATATGATTTAAAGAAAGGAAATTTCAAGCTTCCTGATGAGCAGCAGAACAATGTCCTCATTACGCATTTGACTTGAAATCGTCCACAGAGCTTTTGGGTCGGAGCAGCTGCGATGCACAAATAATTGATAATTCGATGAGCAGTTTTGTGATTGTTAGTTAGGCTTCGTACTCGAGTCCGGCCCAATAGAAGCTCACTTACTTCTTTTAGAGTCCAGTTCGGCAAAGGCCCAATGTTAATGTCAAATCTTAAGTGGCTTATAGCCTTATACCGTAAGCCAACAAGGAAGCTTCGGTTTTAAAATGATTTGTTTCTTACCTAAAATGAATTGTATTGGGTAACATTCCACCGTAAATTCTTATCTTTTTAAGGGTTGTAGCTTACGGTATAAGTCACCAATTGGACATCTTCCATCAAACGAAAATTATTGAATTAAAAACCAATCAAAGTCTTATTCGCAAAGAAATCTATAACAAAATCCAAAGTTGTATTGACCTTGAAAACCAGAATCTCGGAGAACTCGGATTTGTCAATGCCAAGACATAGAAATTGTTTCTTTGCCAAGCCAAAAACTATATAGTTTGTTAGTTTGGCGCGCGCTGGGAAGAGTCTCCAATGAGAGTACCAAAATTCTCGAGCTAAACGCTTCAAAAAAAGATTTCTTCAATAACAATGGAATAATAATATTTCAACTGTCACTTTTTTTATAGAGCCGATTTTTCCTAAGCTAGTCTACAATTTTTTTTTCATTTATCTATTTCCTATCTAAAAACTGAATGTGACGAGATATGGCGCAATCAGGAGCATTTTAAACCGCTGTTTTCAACTGTTTTGAATAGTATTGTTTGAAAGAAAAAGGAAACACGTTTGTCAGATTGCTGGCTTGCACCGTAAGCCAAAAAGACTGAAAAAGTAACATTACAATTTAAGGTGGATTGGTGCCCAAGATTTATAATACTATATTTCACGATATTTACGATAATCTTCAAAGTCTTAGCCGCAAAGATATCTATAAGACTAAAACAAACAAAAAAATCCTAGCATACCAGAATCTGCCGAAACTGGGAAGTCACCACGTGTCCTGTAGCCGTACATTTAATTGTCGTAAGCACCACGCGTGTTCTCTTAGACGGTATCTAGAGAAGTGTTCCCACCTTAATTTCTGAAGTCTCTGGTGAATTCTAGGGCAATATATTCAGACCAAAATTTATAGTTTATTGTTCTCTTGGTTTTATGTTCGAAATTTAATTGTATATCCATTTCTTTTTCTACAGTTTGTGTGTTGTGTGTGTACAATGGAAAAGGAAGATAACGGATCGAAACAGAGCTCCTCTGCTTCTGTTGTATCCTCGAGAAGAAGAAGAAGAAGAGTGGTTGAGCCAGTGGAAGCGACGTTACAGAGATGGGAGGAGGAAGGGTTGGATAAAGCTCGTAGGGTTCAAGCTAAAGGTTCGAAGAAAGGTTGTATGAGAGGAAAAGGCGGACCAGAGAATCCGGTTTGTCGGTTTAGAGGTGTTCGCCAAAGGGTTTGGGGGAAATGGGTTGCTGAGATACGTGAACCAGTGAGCCACCGTGGTGCAAACTCGAGTCGTAGTAAACGCCTTTGGCTTGGAACGTTCGCTACTGCAGCCGAAGCCGCCTTGGCTTACGACAGAGCTGCTAGTGTCATGTACGGACCCTATGCCCGGTTAAATTTCCCGGAAGATTTGGGCGGAGAAATGAAGAAGGACGAGGAGGCGGAAACTTCCGGAGGATATTGGTTGGAAACTGAAAAATCTGGTCATGGCGTGATTGAAACTAAAGATCGAAAGGACTATGTAGTCTACAACGAAGACGCTATTGAGCTTGGCCATGACAAGACTGAGAATCCTATTAATGAGAACCCATCAGTGAAATCAGAGGAAAATTACAGCTTTGAACGATTCAAATTGGAAAATGGATTGTTGTACAATGAACCTCAAGGCTCCAGTTATCACCAGGGAGGTGGATTCGATTCATATTTAGAGTTTTTCAGATTCTAGCTTAGTGTTTATGCTGCATCAATATACTATAAGACTCTGTTTTTTACACTGTTAGTTTACTACATTTTCATTATCTTAACTTAAGAGTCACGCATCATACCACAAAAATATTGATGCAGAAACAACGATCCCTCTCATTCTGGCTTCTCTGGAGCAGACCACAGCATTTTCCATGGACCGGTTCTTGTTCCCAATCTGAAACATGACGCAATATCCTTTTTAAAAAATGTTCAGACGGGATGAAATTAGAACGGTCTTTTAGTTAATTGTTTTTACCTCCAGGCTCCGGCAACCAACCGCAATGCCATGAAGAGGAATAAACCAGTCCAGATCCCGGCAAGGCCAAACGTTGGTGCAGCCACAAGCATGAACAAGGAAGATATGAATCCGACAATCACCTGTTCCAAAAACGATAATTTATCAACTTATTCCAGGTGAAGAAAAGGGAGAATCAAACCATCAACTGAGGAAGAAGAAAAAGAGACCATAGAATAGGCGGCAAATCCAAAGTCAGAGACACCATAATAAAGCCCATCCAAAACAAACGCTAGAGCATTCACCGGTTGGGATCCAGCCACAAACTGCATCCAGACAACATTATTTAGAAAGTGTCTGAGGCTACCCTTTCAAACTCTTTCTAGATTAAAAGATAAGATCTTACTAAGGTCCCTGACAAAGCAATCTTTAGAACTTCTGAATCCGTTGTGAATAAGCTTGAAAATGGTTCGAAAGTGATGAACAATACAGCAGCCAAACCAGTTCCAGTTGCTAATCCTACCTACTTAAAAGATTGCGATTGTACATTATAAACCGAATTTATAGGGTAGGATATAAACTAGGGATGTAATGAATACGAACTTGAAGGACTCCGAAGATAACTTCCCGGGCTTGTTTGTATTCTCCTTGAGAGAAAGTGGTGGCAAGAAGACTCTGAAAATAGAGGTAGAAACCTTAAGTGAAAAAATTCTCTTCAAAACGTAATCTTGAATCATACTAATGGGATACTTATGTCACAGTAAACTTTGGTAGAGATGATCTGTTTCGAAGTTGATTTGCAAAAGATAATAGACCTGTGCAGCAATGGCTAAAGCATCGGTGAGTAAAGAGACAGCCAACCAGACTTCCAAGACGATTTGATGGCCAGCCATTTGAGTGGGTCCATTTTGAGCTGCTAACGAAGTAGCTAATGTGAACGGCACAAGCAAAGCTACCGTTCTACCAATCAGAAGCCCACCTAAACATGAATCAATACATTTCATATAGTAGCCTTTTTCCGTTTTGTGTTTGAGTCGTTTAAAGAAAACTTGAAAATTTTGAGGAGTTACCTGATTTGAGGTACTGGTTGGCTCTTCCCACTTTGATTTGAGGAGAGAGCAAAACTACATTCTCATTCAACTTCCACAGAAGAATAAATGCAATCAAGTATCTGAAGAAACATTGACAAGTGAGAAACATAAGAAGCCACAAATTAAGATAAATATGCTTACTAGAAAACGAGTCTATTAGTAGTATCAAAAGTTTACCACATTTTTGGACATACTCAGAAATCACAGTAGCAGCCGCAGCACCAGAGATACCAAAACCAAGGACAAATATCAGGATTGGATCCAATATCGCATTAAGCACATTCCCTGCAACTGTTAATATAGAGTTCACTATATCAGAAACGTGTATATATACGATGTTATAAAAACGATTCAAATCACAAAAACTGCCCATCATGTAAATATCAGTCATACTACTATTTCCGCAGATCCATTCATGCATAAAGACAAGAATAAAAAGAGATGATTGTGCAATACTTGCCAACGGCATATAGAGGCGTCGTTGTGTCCTTGAAACCTCGAAAAGCTCCTTGCGCAGCCAATGCAACTACAATTGGTGGTGCACCATACGCTCTAAGTCTGAGGAACTGCTCTGCTGGTATCCGCATTGGTGAATCCTGAAAATTTACATATCAAGAAAGAAGAGAGATCACTTATATAATACTTCAAAGAACAGCCTATATAGAACAAGATCAAACATGAGTTTAGACATTACAAAAGGTATAGCCATGACGTCCATCAAGAAATCAGACCCTAGAGATAGCGCAATCGCCTCTGCAATACCAACTCCAGCAGCAAGAACTAATGATGTTGAAACAGAAGGCAGCACTTTCTTGCCTTAACACCAACAAAGTAAACAACATATACAAAGTAAGAAACAATATTTGAAAGAAGACAGTAAAACATTAAGCTTCAAGGAAAATAAAACTACTTGTTTCCGTAGAATCATTATCATCTTTAGCAGCAATTGCTTGCTCCTCCGCAACAAACGATGTTGTGACGTTTAGCAAAGGAACATTGAAGAGCTTCGACACCAAATTGAATACAGAAACTGAGACTCCTACTGCAGCTAATTCTGCAGAACCTGTCACATTACATATGTATGGTTAAGTGATGTTAAAAATGTAAAATTTCGAAAAATGTGAAATTGAAACCAAACAAAGAGAAAACATTTACCAATATGGCCAACGAAGGCAGTGTCCACAAGAGATGTTATAGGATCAGCAGCTAAAGCTAATGCAGCAGGTAATGCAATTGACATAATCTCCATTCCAATTTTACCAATCCTAAACCAATAAACATTAGAAACCAGAAAAAAGTTGAATATAGAAAAGCCTTAGGCTGAGGACGAACCCAGGATCCGGTTTGTGATCAGAATCCGGTCCGGGAGATTCTGTAACGTCAGAGGATTCTGCTGTTTTTCCGGTCGCTGAGAAGAAGCGGTGACGGCGGGAGATTCATCGCGAGGCGAGTGGAAGATGCAATGTCGAGAGTTGAAGAAGCGAATGTTTCAAAGACGAATGTTCTGAAGAAAGTAGAGGAAGCGGCTCAAGAAATTGAAACCAGCAAGAGGGTATTGGACGAAGCTGTGGAGAGAGTTGATGCTGCAAATGCTTCAAAGATTGAAGTAGAAGAGGCGCTGCGAAACTGGCGGTCAGAGAATGGACAGAGGAGAAGATTATCTTCTTCAGTGAACAACACTTCCAAGTTCAAGAGCAAAAGAGAGACAACGTGTTGCAATTCTCAAATTTTACTCAGGTTTTCTTAAACTCTCTCTTTCTTTTTTAAGATTTTTCATTCATACTTCCCTTTATTACAAGGACACACACATACACATACTTATACAAGTTTTCTTTCACTAGCTAGTAGCTACTCACTTACCCTTACTCTCTCATCTTACTTCTACAATCTAGATTCACTTACACAAGCAATACACTCCATCATTAGACTCCAACCACTCTTAACTGTTCAGACCTAACACCCTCTTCTAACTTAGTACTTAACTCAGACAACAACACACTCTTTCTTTTCATTTGGGCCTTAGTTTATTCGGAGCCCATTACTAAAAACAACCCTAAGCCCATAATCTTTTTGTTGACTTTTCTTCTTCTTCTTTGACTCCCTTCTTCTTCGACGCTTTTCTTCTTCTTCAACCAAGTTTCTTCTTCTTCTCCTCACTGTAATTCTTTTGATTCTTAATCATCTTCTCTTTCTCAATTGCAGGTTCAATCGGAGACTCAACCTTCAACACAACGCGTTTGATAGATGTAAATGGTTTGAATCTGACATATGAAGTTGTTGGCGGGTCATCATCATCTTCTTCAGTCCCTGTCTTGAAGCCAACAATGTCAATAGGGCAAATACTCAGCAAGAAGCTACTTCTTGCAGAGGATTCAGATATGAATGTTGCTAGCGAGAGAAGGAAAATGTCGTTGGGTCAGATGCTGGCAAAGAATAGCAATAGTGATAAACCTGTAAGCAAGAGGAGTGAAGGGAAAAGGTCGACGACTCGAAAGAGAAAGAGTTTCGGATTTGCTAAGATCTCTGTGTTATTGAACAAAGATAGCAAGAATAAGAAGAAGAAGAAAAAGATAGCTTTGAACTTAAGGTGATAAATTGATTGTAGTGTTTTTTTGACTTCTTGTTTCTGTTTTGGTAGTGAACCAACTGCTTTAAAAAAAGTGAATTAAGTGCTTTATTGTAATGCTAATCCTAGCTATCTAATCACAATACGACCATATTAGCCTTGACTGAGAAACTAGACAGAAGATGAAGTGTGGAAATTTTCAGTTCCTAACATTGTATTGCATAGTCTCTACTCTCTTTTATATCTATATCCTGAGAGTCTATGTAAGATGCATAGAACAATTGGTTAAGAGATTAACCAAATCATCAACTAATGGGTTAACAGACTAACCAACTCGTTAATTCAAACTGAGATATCTGTATTCCTTTAATATCCAATGAGACTTCGACCATGATTAGGAAATAATGGTTTTGTTGACACATCTCTGTAGTTTGGATTCTTTCTCTGAAAAACTTTGGTGCTTTTATGAAACAGTGGACTGTTGTTGGCAATGTGTATAGCTGCAGTATTAGCCACATATGCTAGCATTGGCACTATGCAACTCTATTAACATATTTACATGCCACATGAATTTCACAAATTGCCAAAACCATGGTGTATGCTCCTTCGGTATATCCGTATATAGAGTACGGCAGTACGCACTACTAAAAGGGTTATGAATGAAACTGTCATATACATTAACAACTCTCTGATACCTCCTCAAGCCACAAAACCATTGTTTTAGACAAGAGATTTAAATGACTGGCATCTCATGAAATCAACAAGATTGCCTCATCAACAACGCACGGATCGAAACTACTGAAACATTCCATCAGCCTTTCATTTCTAGTCCCTTAAAATCTCTAGAGCTTTAGACCAAACTGGTCCACACATGCCTATGGAAACCAACAAGATCAAACCAAACCAACACTTGAAGTAGTGTTGTGTATCTTAATGTTACTATGTAAAAAACATTTCATCTTCAAAATTTACCGAACAAGTTCAAGCCAAATGCCATTGTATAAATTTGTTTGTAAGATCTTGAATTTTGAATATTATTGATATTTAGTTATTATTTTCTTAATAACTTTCCAAAAATATAGGTAAATAGAATATTTTTAAAAATTAATACAGAATGTTTAAGTAATATGCTTTTAAGTTTTTTTTAAGATTTCGGTTTCATAATATTATTATTAATAATGATTTGTTATTGATTTTGTCATTATCTTCTTTCATTAATATTATTGTTTTATATATTAGGAAATTAAAAATGGGTCAAACCTAAAGAAACGGATATGATCAAAACTAATCGTGATTGCAACTTCCGGGTCAATTATTTGATTTTAAACCAATCAGTCTTTTTTTTTTTTTTTTTTTTTTTTTTTTTTGAAACAATCCAATCAGTCTAAGAAATATGAAACTCTAGCTGGCGCCCAAGAAAGAGATGTTTTTCTTTGAAACTTGCCCCATGCCACGAATCTATAGCATTTTTTCATGTCTTATCAAAGAGTAATGAATTCTTAAATGATGCAGCTATAACACAACACATGCAACTTTCACATAAAGAGATATGAAAAATTGGATAACCATAAGCTGAAATTTCACTTGCTAGTATCTTGTCAATCTCATATTTTTAATACTCCATTCTAAACATTAGAAAAATTGTCACTTGCAGTCATTAGTTAACCCTTGAAAACATGAAAATGAACACATATTCGACATATAATATGATAATTACTATTTGCTTTATGTGAAATTTAAATAAAACAACGTATGCCCAAACATCCGTGGTCTAGTGGCAAAGGAAGCTTTGGGAAAAGGTTGAAACTCCCAAAACCTGAGTTCGATTCTCCCTGGAAACAAAAACACATTTGTTTGGGAAGTCTGTCAGTTGGGCCTTGGCCCAATTGGTTTACCTGGTAGCCAGAAATGCAGGCGGCCTGACTACCCTCTGGCACTTAGTCGGAAGGCATTCCAAACTCGGGATAGGCAGAGTGGTAGCCCGTAAGGGTCTAACCGTTAACACGGTGGACCAGTCCACTATGTAGCACCTCGGTGTGTTCCTACCGAGGCCGACCGGATAGCCGATAGGGTTTATCAAAAAAATAAAATAAAATAAAATAAAATAAAACAACGTAAACACAAAGAAAGAAAAAAATGATATTCAAAACGGAAATAAAATGGTCAACATTGTTCATGAGTCAAGCATACGTAATGCAAAAAAAGAATGGTTCACAAGTGGTACTAACACCATTCTTCTCGCTCTCCTGATGATCGGTTTTATTTTGTGAGCCATTACTCTCGCATGGATGTAAGTTATCCTTGTGGTGATCACCCCCATTGCTGGAGCCATTACTACTACGCTCATGAGGATGCAATATCACTTTAAGATTACTACTACATGCCGTGTGTTTTTATTTCGGGTCGGTTCGAAAAGAGCTTGTCCACTCTTTTCTTCCAAATTTACCCTTAATTCGGATTTTCCAAAGAACACAATCGATGACATTTTTTGTAAATACTGAAAACGGCTTATATGGCTACTGCCCTCGATCCTCGATTAATAGTATAGATTAAAATCAATAACCGATGAAATAAAGTCATCAAATTGAAGATTTGCGTATGATTTTAACGACATTGAAGAATTATGTATAAAACCATTATTTGTTAGCATAATTTTAACATGATGAACCCTAGATCGTTTAAGCAATATGATTAATTACATGACAGAACTATGATGGAGGGTTAGCGGAGTACCTCCAACCATTGTAGCCGAGATTGTCTTGATGAACGGTTTCCTGAAGTCCTGAACTTTCAGTTTAGGAGAATTAGGTTTCTCTCCCCCTTGCCTATGAACAATACTATTATGTGTTGTGTTTAGGGGTGGGCATTCGGGTATGCGGGTCGGGATCGGGTAAAACCCGATCGGGTACGGGTCTTTCGGGTAGAGGAGTTTAGGACCCAATAGGGTAAATCTAAAATATCGGTTCGGTTTCGGTTCGGGTCTAATCGGGTTCGGGTCGGTTCGGGTTTAGATTTTTAGAACCGCTAAATACCCGAAAAAATCGGGCACCCATCGGGTTCGGGTATTTTATACCCAAATACCCAAAATTTTACCAAATACCCGAAATTTTACTCTAATATCCAAATTTTATCCGCAATTTTACTCAAATATCCGAGTTTCACCCAAAAATTTATCCGAATAACCGGAATTTTGTCCAGATATTTAAAAAATTTACAAGCATCTCGCGTATAAATATATTTAGTCTTAAATATATAAATATAAGTGCATTTAATTTTTGGTAATTACTCTCGGATATTTGGATATAAATGTATTTAGCTCAAATATTACATATATATAAAGTTTTTATATGTATAAGTATAAGTAATTTCGGGTAATCAGGTACTCGTTCGGGTATCGGGTTCGGATCAGGTTTTACCCTATACTCACGGGTACGACAATACAAGACCCAATAGGGTAAATAGCTAATACCCGTACCCACCCCGAACCGGTTTTTTCGGGTCGGTTTCGGTTCGAATACTCGGGTACGGTTTTTTTGCCTAGGCCTAGTTGTGTTTCTGTTAAGGATACCTTTATGATGGTCTAAAGGCATATATTTATAAGTGGAGAGAGGACCTAATTCTTCTTTAGGGTTTTCTTAAGATTTAATCTCAACCGTCCATCAAAATAGAGATAGATTAGGAAAAACTCTTTAATTACCAATTTAATTGGATTCCAGATATATTAAGTAATAGCAATATTCCAATAGAAAACGGATAACTATAAGACCATATAATAGAAAAAGGAAATATTCCTTACATTATTATCATTAAATTGTTTACCCAAAAATGATAACAAATTAAAATATTTGTATGATGTGATTTGTTAAATGAAATATTAATCGTGGATGATAAACAAAAACTTTAGCCGAAAAAAAAACAAAAACTTTAAATAATATAGGGGATATATATAGCTGAAGAAGATAAGAATGGTTTTGAAGATACTTCTTTTACCAACCAAAAAAAAAGAGAAGATACTTCGTTAGTTCGTTTATATATGACCTTATCAAAACCTTAAGATACCGCCGTGAATCAATGTATATAACCAAAGGGGTTCATATATATATCGAGGCATTTACATAAATTAATGCACCAAGAAACGAAACCATGGATCCTGCTACCGTCGATGAATCTCCGAGCCGGCGGCGTCCATGGTGGTGAGTCCCATCAACGAGTTTTCTTTACTCTGATTTTGTTTTAATTATAAATTAAATAATACTCATGTAACAATCGATAATATGGCTATATAAACTGTGATTGGTGGTGGATGGGATATGCAGGCAAAACAAATACGTAATATACGACCTTGTCATGAACGTGCTCTTGATAGGCTTCAATGTTGCAACCTTTTTGTATATAAGACATTATAAGATTCCCCTAGTTTCAAGTATAGACCATATGATCGAGTTTTTGGTGGCTTTCTACTGTCTAGCAAACATTGCTGGTGTGGCTACATGGGTATACATGTTCAAGAAGATCCCCGAACGTCCTTTCGAAGGCGGCGTCATGGGTGTTGCTCATATCTGTGGCGTTATTTTACTAATTCTCTTCCTCTATTCTATTTCTCTCGCCGTTGCTCTCATTATCGGTATACCTTCTTTGTTATGGTTTATACCCTTTTTATGTTACTCTATAAAACATTAACTAGAAGTCTACCCTTTTTGCGTTTTACTCTTTCTTTGGTTTCTTTTTATTTCCTGTTTTTTTTTCTCTTTCCTATATTTTTTTTAGTTTGATTTTTGTTCCTAATGTTCCCCACGATTTTTGTTGTTTCTTAAATCAAACTTAATTATCCCCATTTATTTTCATTAAAAAAGTTTAGTATTGTGTATAATAAAAACTCAATTAAGAAATGTGTTACTATTTCAAGTGATGAGCACAAACGTTCTAATATCATGTAATATTAGTGCAATTGTGGGAGAGAATATTTTAGATCATTCTTCTTAATTATCCATAAAGTAAAACGACGAATAATACAGTACTAGATAATAACCCGCACTATGTGCGGGACAAAACGATTATTTAATAAATTTTAATGTATTAACTATATTGAAGGTGTTCGAATTTTATATTATTAGATAAACAGTAGTGTATTAATAATTATCAAGAGTAGTGAAAATTTTCATTTATGTATTAATGTTTTGTGTTTATTATGATTCATGATATATATCTTGTTATACTAATAGATACACAAAATATTAGGTACTCCATTTTGTATAGATTTGTATCTCTTAATTACATATTTTAATTGTATTTTCGTTTTAATTAATTGAGTAAAATAAAAAGCATAAATTAATTAGAGAAAATAAACATAAGTAAAACTAATAGCAAAATCTGTAAATATCCTAATAAATGTTGGGCCTTTAATTAAATGGATTGAGAAGCTCTGTGAGAACGACATGTCAGCATGGCATTTTCGTTAATCACACATGAGAGTAAGGTTATTTTTTAAAAATGCTTCTCAATTAATATATAAGAGATTTTAATTAATTGAGTAAAATAAAAAGCATAAATTAATTAGAGAAAATAAACATAAGTAAAACTAATGGCAAAATCTGTAAATATCCTAATAAATGTTGGGCCTTTAATTAAATGGATTGAGAAGCTCTGTGAGAACGACATGTCAGCATGGCATTTTCGTTAACCACACATGAGAGTAAGGTTATTTTTTAAAAATGCTTCTCAATTAATATATAAGAGATTTTAATTAATTGAGTAAAATAAAAAGCATAAATTAATTAGAGAAAATAAACATAAGTAAAACTAATGGCAAAATCTGTAAATATCCTAATAAATGTTGGGCCTTTAATTAAATGGATTGAGAAGCTCTGTGAGAACGACATGTCAGCATGGCATTTTCGTTAATCACACATGAGAGTAAGGTTATTTTTTAAAAATGTTTTTCAATTAATATATAAGAGATTCTACGCATATTCAAACTACATCTTCCTCCAAACAGTCCAATCAAACAAAAGACAAAAAAGGGTGATCTAAAAAAACCAGATAGACCTAAGTTCTTTCCCAAGTAATATAGCAGTAACGAGGTGGATTTTTAACTCCTTGGACTTGGTCTAATTAATAGACTCAATCTCGTTGAATCCTATCAACAGATACTTATCCTTGTAAGTCCAAAAACTCCAACAATCACCTTCTGAACACGTAATGGCGTGATTGAAACGAATGATGGAAAGGACTATGTAGTCTACAAGGAGGACGCTATTGAGCTTGGCCATGACAAGACTGAGAATCCTATGACTGGTAAAGAAATAGTGAAATCAGAGGAAAATTACAGCTTCGAACGATTCAAATTGGAAAATGGATTGATGTACAATGAACCTCAAGGCTCCAGTTATCACCAGGGAGGTGGATTCGATTCATATTTAGAGTTTTTCAGATTCTAGCTTAGTGTTTATGCTGCATCAATATACTATAAGACTCTGTTTTTTTATACTATTAGTTTACCACATTTTCATTATCTTAACTTAAGAGTCACGCATCATCCCGCAAAAATATTGATGCAGAAACAGCGATCCGTCTCATTCTGGCTTCTCTGGAGCAGACCACAGCATTTTCCATGGACCGGTTCTTGTCCCCAATCTGAAACATGATGCAATATCCTTTTAAAAAAATGTTCGGACGGGATGAAATTAGAACGGTCTTTTAGTTAATTTTTTACCTCCAGGCTCCGGCAACCAACCGCAATGCCATGAAGAGGAATAAACCAGTCCAGATCCCGGCAAGGCCAAACGTTGGTGCAGCCACAAGCATGAACAAGGAAGATATTAATCCATTAATCACCTGTTCCAAAAACGATAATTTATCAACTTATTCCAGGTGAAGAAAAGGGAGAATCAAACCATCAACTGAGGAAGAAGAAAAAGAGACCATAGAATAGGCGGCAAATCCAAAGTCAGAGACACCATAATAAAGCCCATCCAAAACAAACGCTAGAGCATTCACCGGTTGAGATCCAGCCACAAACTGCATCCAGACAACATTATTTAGAAAGTGTCTGAGGCTACCCTTTCAAACTCTTTCTAGATTAAAAGATAAGATCTTACCAAGGTCCCTGACAAAGCAATCTTTAGAACTTCTGAATCCGTTGTGAATAAGCTTGAAAATGGTTCGAAAGTGATGAACAATACAGCAGCCAAACCAGTTCCAGTTGCTAATCCTACCTACTTAAAAGATTGCGATTGTACATTATAAACCGAATTTATAGGGTAGGATATAAACTAGGGATGTAATGAATACGAACTTGAAGGACTCCGAAGATAACTTCCCGGGCTTGTTTGTATTCTCCTTGAGAGAAAGTGGTGGCAAGAAGACTCTGAAAATAGAGGTAGAAACCTTAAGTGAAAAAATTCTCTTCAAAACGTAATCTTGAATCATACTAATGGGATTTTTATGTCACAGTAAACTTTGGTAGAGATGATCTGTTTCGAAGTTGATTTGCAAAAGATAATAGACCTGTGCAGCAATGGCTAAAGCATCGGTGAGTAAAGAGACAGCCAACCAGACTTCCAAGACGATTTGATGGCCAGCCATTTGAGTGGGTCCATTTTGAGCTGCTAACGAAGTAGCTAATGTGAATGGCACAAGCAAAGCCACCGTTCTACCAATCAGAAGCCCACCTAAGCATGGATCAATACATTTCATTTAGTAGCCTTTTTGCGTTTTGTGTTTGAATTGTTTCAAGAAAACTTGAATATTTTGAGGAGTTACCTGATTTGAGGTACTGGTTGGCTCTTCCCACTTTGATTTGAGGAGAGAGCAAAACTACATTCTCATTCAACTTCCACAGAAGAATAAATGCAATCAAGTATCTGAAGAAACATTGACAAGTGAGAAACATAAGAAGCCACAAATTAAGATAAATATGCATTACTAGAAAACGAGTCTATTACCACATTTTTGGACATACTCAGAAATCACGGTAGCAGCTGCAGCACCAGAGATACCAAAACCAAGGACAAATATCAGGATTGGATCTAATATCGCATTAAGAACATTCCCCGCAACTGTTGAACCATAGTTTTACCATATCAGACACATGTATGCGAAACTGCTAATGCATATATACGGTTTCGTAAACACGATTGAAATAACAACAATTGACAATCATGTAAATATCGGTCATACTTCTATTTCATGCATAAATCTTAAATACAAGGATAAAATTAAAAGAGAGATGATTGTGCAATACTTGCCAACTGCATATAGAGGCGTTGTTGTGTCTTTGAAACCTCGAAAAGCTCCTTGCGCAGCCAATGCCACTACAATTGGTGGTGCACCATACGCTCTAAGTCTGAGGAACTGCTCTGCTGGTATCCGCATTGGTGAATCCTGAAAAGTTACAAAGCGGGAGAGAGGATCACTTATACGAAACATCAAAGATAACAGCTTCTATAAAAATAAGTTCAACATGATCTGTGATAAGCTTAAGACATTACAAAAGGTATAGCCATGACGTCCATCAAGAAATCAGAGCCGAGAGATAGCGCAATCGCCTCTGCAATACCAACTCCAGCAGCAAGAACTAAAGATGTTGAAACAGAAGGCAGCACTTTCTTGCCTTAACACCCGCAAATAAACAACAGATTCAACGTAAAGAAACAATCTTTGAAAGAAGACAGTATAACATTAAGCACATTTTGCATTAGAAGCTTGAAGGAAAGTAAAATACTTGTTTCTATAGAATCACTATCATCCTTAGCAGCAATTGCTTGCTCCTCCGCAACAAACGATGTTGTGACATTTAGCAAAGGAACATTGAAGAGCTTCGACACCAAATTGAATACAGAAACTGATACTCCTACTGCAGCTAATTCTGCAGAACCTGTCACATTACATGTTATAGTGATGTTAAAAATGTAAAATTTCGAAAAATGTGAAATTGAAACCAAGCAAAGAGTAAGCATTTACCAATATGGCCAACGAAGGCAGTGTCGACAAGAGATGTAATAGGATCAGCAGCTAAAGCTAAAGCAGCAGGTAATGCAATTGACATAATCTCCATTCCAATTTTACCAATCCTAAACCCAAATAAACCAATAAACATCAGAAACCATTCAAAGTTGAATACAGAAGAAGCATTAGGCTGAGGACGAACCCAGGTTCCGGTTTGTGATCAGGATCAGGTTTGGGAGATTCCACTAGATTCTGCTGTTTTTCCGGTCGCCGAGAAGAAGCGGTGACAGCTGGAGATTCATCGCGAGGCGATGATTTACAGAAGATTGTTCTTCGAATCGATGAATTAGGGTTTAGAGAAAGATTGTGGAGTTGGAAAAGTGACGGCGATCGAAGGGGAGAGAAACAGAAGGGGGTAGCGACCGCCGCCATTGCGGAGAAGAGAGAGACGGAGAAAAATCTCGGCGGAGGAGGAAGAAAGAGAGCCACATGATGATGTTCACTCTCTTTATCTATCTACTTCCTAACTGATTAAACGGTCAGATGTCTAAACCAATTGCATATTACGGTTGGACCTTTAATGGGCTTTTTATTGGGCTTTTAAATTGTTTATTGTTTGTTTGTTTTTAATTCACTTAAAAACTTTTTTTTGACCAAAGTTACTCTTTTGTAGTATCTTTAAGATAGCTTCTTTTTTTTGCTCTAGTTTGATTGAAGAGGATATACATCATATATCGTTTTTTTTCCTTGTTGTGACCGTGACTCTCATAATATGTAAGTCATGAGTTTGCTTCTGTATCACTCACTTTCTAAATTTAGAAAGAAATCTTTATTTCTCCGGTTATCTTGTGGTTTCTAAAAGGGATATATTTTGATTTTTGGATGGATATTTGAAATCCGCATACTAGTGTTCAAGAATCTTGATATGGATTAGTTGTAAGATCATCTGATATCCTAAAACCAAAAAAAAAAGATCTATATCCCTTTTGTTATTTGAACTTTCTTGAAATTTGAAACTGATCCGATTATAGGTTTTGAGTTTAACATTCTCGGAGAAACAATGCATTTCCAAATAATACAATACACTTGTACGACAAACAATATCTTAAGAGCATATATTTGAAAAAAGAAAAAAATCTGGTTTAAAGATCATCAATGACGTGTTTCACGATTCAGCAGAGTTGGATTTTTTTGTTGGTTCAAAAGCAGAGTTGGATTTAATAGGCTAACGAAACATAGAGTACAAGAGTAAGGCATAGAATTGAAGTCAGCATTTTTACATCGTAAATTGGAGCGTTAGTTAAAAGAATTTATTGAGAGAGTTGCGACGCCGTGCAGCATCAGCAGAGCAGCCTCACATGACTTGCGGTCCCAGCAAATTACAGAAGAAGACCTGTCCTCCCTTTTTTTTTGGGATTAAAATGTAGGAACACCTATCTTATTTTTATTTCATTTCTTTTTTGAACACCTGATTATACACGTTAAAATACAGTAACACTCACACTAATTTCAAATATCATATTAAGTAAAATCTCTATACTACTAAAGGACCATATAACTCTTATTCAACTTGATCAATATTGTAATTTTTTAAGATATTAAATACCATATGATCTATTTCTCCTATGACTATTTTATAACATAAATTTTGTAAGATCACTAGGCTGTATTTAAAATAAAATAAATAATTTAATAGCATTACTGACCAGTCGTTAGAAGGTGTTAGAAACCTGTATGATTGGTCGGATCGATTAAACCTTAAACCGTTTGCTAATTGGTCTTTTCTTTTATAATAATTCATAATTTGACTCAGGTAATTTGCCGTTCCAAATTAATGAAATAATATAATACTAGATAACTTGAGAAAATATCGAGTTTCCTTATTTATAGTATACGTTAGTAATTCTAAATACCAAATTATCCATTATCGACCAATACTGGTTATCATCCATTCCAATTCTATATATAGACATGCTTAGTGGCACATGCTGGAAACAACAGTTTGTCACAAAAATTCACTGTAAATGCCTAATTTCTCCTAAATTCAATACAACGTTAATTATACGTTGCAATCTTTGCAAAACATAATGATTGTCACAACGAAAATGAATAGTATACCAAGGTTTTGACTATACAAAAATGCTCTATATGTATAAATCCCAACGTTTGCACGAAGTCACTGGACTACCAAACTAAATAGTTAATTAGGTTTAAACGAGCGAGATGATTGACACAACAAAAAAAAAAAAAAAAAAAAAAAAAAAAAAAAAAAAAAAAACGAGCGAGATGTAGAACTCCTACATATAGAGCAACAATTTTTGTGGTTAGAACTCCGGAGCATAAACATTTGAATACGAAATTGGTAGAGAAACAAACATAGAATTCAAATTAATAAATAAATTCCGGTTACAATTGTGTTCGATCTCTTTTCTTGAATATTACAAAAGTTCATGCAATAAACATATTAATAAGGTCTCTGAGGAAGAAAGTCAAAACGTCGACGAAGAATCACCAAGAACATGCGACCAAAAAAAAGATCACCAAGAAGATAACATAAATCTAAAAGATACTGGAAAAATTGCAAATGAACCCATAAGAAAAATAAATGAAACTGTGTATATGCATGTTGGTCCACGTGGTTCATGCAGAGCATATCTGTTCCCCACTTACCCTGACCCCAACCACAAGCACTATAAAGTAAGTAAATCCTAAAACAAATCTTCAGAAAATGATTTTATGATATTGCAACTTTTGGTTAGTAGCATCTCCGATTCTACTTTAATTAATGTAAGAAAATTGTATATAATTGATTGGCGTTCATCTTTTTCAGAATAATTGGTTTAGAAAGTTTGGACCGACATTAATTAACTAATTAACTTTATTTAAAACGGCAATAAGAACACTAATAATTGTAATTAGGATACAAATGAAACCTACCCGGAGGTGGCTGACTTCACCAGAGAAAGAGTCTAATGATGAGATCTAGCTAGTCTTTTCTTATCATGATTTGTGTTAGACTAAAGTATATTTCTTGGTTTAAAGTTTCAACAAAAGAGATATATAAAAAATAAGACACTTTTATGAAAATTATAGAGCTCAAATGAGACACTAAAAAGAATAGGATTTCAAGTGGTTGTAGACGTTTTGCCTCTGCCTTTTACATTGTAGTAAGAAGAGCCAATGAAACTCAGGATGGATAGCGCCAAAAAATCGATATGAAATAAGATCATCATGGCGCTATCCCTCCTGAGCTTTACAGATTCTTCTCTACTTGTTTTTTGGGTTGTGACTTAAAGAGAAAAAGAAAAACGATTAGAGAGAGTAAAGCTAAAAAGATGGAAGTGAGGAAGAAGGAGAAGAGAAGGTGTTATTTATAGACTAACGAAACTCGGGTTCGAAGGAACACACGTCATCTCCTCTTCGTTAAACGTGAAAATATTATTATTATTTTTAATGTGAATTATTAATTTCCATATATTACCAAAATATATGTAATGACTACGTTTTTCCTGTAATAATAATGTTTACTAGTTAAAGTATATTTATTAAATTTCTTAGCTTTTTTAGTGTGGAAAGTATTAATACTATATAGTCCAGATGTGATTTATTGGATCACGTATTGATTGTTTGACTTTTTTTTTTTTTTTTAATAACCGCGGATCTTCCAAAGGTTTCCTAGGCCCAAGGACTAATCCCACGAAACTGGCAATTCCCGTATGTAAACTTGTCAGTGGCCGTGCCTCGAATCTTGGTGGCGGAAGTCACAGTTTTGACCTCTTTACTGTGACCTCTTTACCACTAGGCCACAAGGGCCGGTTGATTTTTGACTTTAGTTTCTTCTTCTCGGGTCCTTGTTCACAGAAATGAAGGAAGCTTAATTCAAAATACATGATAATGCTTTTGTTGACGAACAATTATAGATGCGTCGTCTATTATAATATATGCTATAATTTTATCCCGGACTTTAATTACGTATGTGGGTATATATAAATACACGCATTGCATATATATTATTGTGATTAAATTATAATATGTATTTGTGTACCGCATATTGTTAACTATATATCATTGGTCCGACATTCAAAATATTCGAAGACCAATCAATGCTTATTTGCAAGCTATGAGAGTATATATTTATTTATAGTGGATTTGAAAGTATAATTTTTTTTTTGTTACGCAGATAAATGGATTTCTATGATTAGAAAATATTGAAAAAATAATTAATTTAAAAGAGTTAATAATTATATTTTAGGTGAATATAAAATACCAGAGGTACAATTCTTACCAAAATAGGTAAATTCTGGTAAATAACGGTGAGGTTTGTTGTCCATTTATGTTAACAGGAATGATTAAATTAATGAATGTCAAGACTTTTTACTTTATCCTTTTAGATTGTTGTTTGTATCTTTTTTCCTGCCGACTACGGTCGTCAAGTAAAATATCAAATATGTATTCACTTGGTTTCAAGAGATATATGATGTCATTTTTATTAATCCTGAAGTATTTAAAAGATTCATCCCCTATAAAATATCCATTTTCTTTTTTACAGATAAGACGTTCATTAATTAACCAAAAAAAAGTATTTAGAAAAACTATACTGAGATTTTCTAATTTGACTAAAGTTGTACGGTACGTATATATGTGTGATTATACTCTAGATGTGAAACAAAAAAATTATTATATAGTCCAGCTAACTTACAAAATTACCTAAGTTATAGTGGCTTGTCGAAAACTATATATGAGAAACCGAGTCAAATGTCTAGAAGACGAAGTAAGAAAATTGAATGATACTATTAATCGTTTAGTTAGTTCCAATACCGACTATAGAAGGTAAACTATATATGTCAATTTTTGTGTTCAGCTTATATTTGGAGCATCATCAAGTGTTATTTTTAATTTTTGTTTTGTTTATATTCATGTTGTCTCAGGGATTAAGTGTTAGACACGAGATGAATAGACATGAAGCAAGCTTGAAATGGATGTTTTATTATAAGTTCAAATTGTTATCTATTTTATAAAACAATAAAATCATTTTAAGTTTTAAAGATAATTATGAATTGTGAAAGATGTAATCGATTATTTTATTTTATTTTTAATTATTTTCTAAAATTTATATATTCCACGTTAAAATACAATGAATATTCACTATATATAAGTATTTTAACTGGACCAATAATTTGTGACCAATAATTTGTCCCAAATTAATGTCACCATTTGTGACTACATATTGGTAATACAAACGTCACCACCGTTACGACTAATATTAACGTCACTATTTTGTCACTCATCGAGACAATTTACAGTTACTATTTAGTGCGTAACAATATTGTGACGAAATAATTACGAATTTATGACAAAAAAAAATCGTCATAACATAGTATCTAAAAAAGTCACAAATTTGTGACAATTTTTTTTCGTCTCAACTGAACGTCATAATGATTCTTTTTTTTTGTAGTGAGAAAAGAACTAACTTACAAAATGGCCTAATTTATAATGATTTTGTCGAAAGAGCTAACTTAAATAATGACTAAAAAAAATCAGTTTACTTTTACGGAATATTTTGTTTGTTTTGAATTCCAATCATTTGAAATTTTGTAATTACATTTAAAACTGTAATAGACCTTTAGCAAAAAAAAGAAAAGGAGAAAAAAAAGAAGAGAAGAAATAATGTAATCGATGACTTGTCATTTTGTACTATTAGCCTACTTTGGTTGTATTAATGGCTAAAGCTCATTTATTTATTTAAATGTTCCTTGCCCTCTCTCTTTAAGAGGTTTGTATATTTTTTTGGGGTTTTCACTGTATAATGTAAACCTTCTTTTTATTAGTATCAATTTTAATATTAAACCAAAAAAATGAGGTAAAAAAATTTGTGGGTTTGAGCCTGATGTCAAAATGTGTTGGTAGCTGAAATTGTTTTTGTTTCCGTTATATTTGGCATAAAAATACTAGAATAAAACAGTGAGGTTGGAATAGATATATATTATCTAATACTATAACAAATTATTATTGTTTCACGGTCTACTAGATGCAGAAAACGTTTGTATAGATGGTAAGTTTTGATTGCGATTGGAAGAATTTATCAAAAAAAAAAAAAATTGGTTCTTTCCAAATAATGATAATGTTCCCCTATAGCGCATCTAAGCATTGGTGAATAACATTCGTTAAGATACATTCTCTCATAAAAGTGAGTCTGGGTGTTATTAGTTACCATATTCACATCAAATCTCACATCATGCGGTGTGGTCAATGTTTTCAATAGTGCGTCCCATATATCTCACTTTCATCACTACATTTTTCTCAAACCTTCTTTCCAAAAAAAAAAAAAAAAAAACAAAAAACAAGTCACTACATTTTTCTCTCTCATTTTAAAATTATTATTTCTAAAAGAATACGATCGAGAGTTTGCACACCAAAATCAATGAGGGCTCAGGAAATGAAATCAAAGGATTAATTACCAAATAGTTTAGCAGTTAGTAAGAAAGTGTTGATAAACTTATATATCGATCGAGCATTTGTAAAATCAGTGATAAGATAAGCTTATCAAAGATATCTAGCATCGATAAATTTAACCGGTTAAATGAAAAAGTATGACCATGTTCCTAATTTTTTTAACACAAAACAAATAACGGATCGAATTAGCTACGATGTATATTTTTCTTATCATCTTTACATTACATCAATCATCTGCCAACTTTTAACTTCTTTTATAGAGGAGTACGTCTAAATAGGCTGATCAAAGTCACATCCATTTCGTTAATTATGATTAGTTTGCCGTACGCGAACTTTGATAGATCAGTCCATTTTGCATTCCTATTCTAATACATTTGGTTCCTAGCTAGTCTAATCTGTTTTGATTTTTGAACAAAGGATCATTACTGAACTATAAATTAGTGAAACTTCAATTATAAAAACACAATCACCACATACAAAAGAAAAAAATAGCAAGGAATTTGTATAAGGTTTCCAAAATTCATAACCTGAATATTAAATAATAAATCAGTCCCCTTTTCGGAGCAAGATCCATGTATTCTAACTTCTTAAGTAGCTGGAGAACTTCCAAATAAAAGAAAACAAAAACATACACACAAGAATAATCAATTAGATCATATACAACGTAACTCCATATCTTTTACTGGCTGAGAATTTACAAACATTCAATCTGACATTATTCAATTTAATTTGGGTCAGCTTTTCGTTAGGTCATTATCATAGGCAACAGCCCTCAATCAATAGCATGATACATTAATGTTAAAATAGATTTTAAAATCTACATAAATACATGAAGATGAACGAATCTAAGTTGGACTGTATATTTTTCTATTAATATACATGAAATTCTGTAGTCTCTATCCTCTGCCATCTCTAAGACAGTTGTGCTCTAATGGTGTGACATAGAATTTATGAATACGGCTTTCTTAAAGTTAAATATATATTTTATTTTGTTAGCATATTACGATGAGGTCCAAAAACAAGCTTTAATGAATAAAACCTATCCAAAGATATTACGATGAGGTCCAAAAATATATTAGGGACTCAGAGCACACATTTATACATATGTTTACTCTAAGTAAAACAGTAATAGCTCTTTCCATTTTCTTCACTTAAAGGTTCATGTAATACAAACAAGGTATTTAAAATGTAAATTTGTAATCAAGTGTTTGTTTCTTTGAAACCATTTAAAATCTTATACGAAGCCAAGATTCATAGAATCAGAGTAGTGGGAAGCCTCCATATAAAGGAACCAATATACATTCAAAAGTATTAATTGGCTGAACTTTTATGCAAAGACATTCATTCTGACAAAATTCAACCTCATTTGATCAGCTTTTCGTTAAAATGGTCATCATCCACACAGTCCTCAATCAATGGGGTCTATTGCCAATTTACCAGTCAGAAAATAAAAAATTAATAAACAAAAAAATGTAATATGAAGAACGAGATTCTTCGAAAAATCCAAAGAAAGGATGATTGAAATTTAAGTTTTCTAGTTTTTAGTAATTCGAGAAATAATGGAGGAAATTCTGGGAAGAAATCAAAACAATTATTGGAGCGTCACTTCAGGGCGGCTTTATGATTCTGTATCTGTCCTGCCAACTTCCCAGTTTCTCCGCCTTCCACTTTGTGACACAGATTTTAACACACACAGCTTTTCATGCCTCATCTTTCTTTAGGATATGAATAGTAGTATTATTTTAGTAGTATATCAATGGTAAAGATATTTCAGTTTAATTTAACATATATAGTTGAATGATATTTGTGATTAACGACAAAATGTTGATTAGTTAGAAAAACCCTTCAAAAATCATCATAAAAAAAAAAAAACTAAAATACATTCTTAGTTCCACTTTATCACATATTTTAACGTATACTCGTAGGCTTTTATGCATTTTCCACATCATGCATTTGAAAGTTAAAAATTGTTATTCAACTCTAGATAGAGTAGAACACACATTTTTAACTAGCATATTTAACTTAACCGGAAAAAACAAAAAAACAAAAACTACCATATGGAAGATTGATGGATTTTCTTGGCACCATATCCAAAACTTGCAAAGCCTAATCAACTATGGCCCAAAACAAAATAATTGTTTTGACCCAAATAAAGGGATTCTAATTCATTGAAGAAATGGCATATTAAGAAAAACATGTTAAAAATTTTGATAAAAATAAGTGAGAGTAATAAAATCAGCTGTACAATTGAAGTGGAATAGGTAGAAGAAAAAAAAAAGATGTAACAGTAGTTTTCAACTAGAGTGATGGTCAGGAATATAAGCATAAAGGAGTTCATTCCAAACATCAGGAACTCCAGGCAAACACCAATGTATGCAATCTGCATTACTACTTGGATTCGAGAGTTCATTTTCCTTCACTGTTCCCCATTGTTTTCTGTAGATCGAAGGATGACCTTCTTTTCGATACTCCGATAGTTGCGTAATGTTTATCATCTGCATGTGTAATCCTCGATTTTTTAGCCCGTCAAGCACATTTTCTAAGACTCTCATCATCTTTGGATCTGAACCTTTTCCAGTATATCCTTCTTTATCTATTAGACTAGTTTCTCCATAACAGTTCTGATCAAGTTTTCCTCCCCATTCTTCACCCCTACATAGATTTACTTATGTTACTTGTTATCTTGTATAAGAACCCAAATAATACTAGTATGACAAATTCATTTGGTCATAAGTTGTGCCGATCATATGCATCATTAAAAGTAAAACTTATTTTGCTATAAAACTTTTGACTGCTAAGTAAAAAAAAAAAAAAAAAAAAGAAGAAGTTCAACTAGTGAAGATTTCAATCACACTCTAAAAACCAATTGATATATTAGGAGAAATAAATATTTATCGAAAAAAACGTAAAGAATGAAGATACGAATCTATGAGGGAAAAAAATAGATCAAAAAACATTATCATGGGTATTGAAAAGAGTTAGAGAAAGGTACCTTTCATGGGTGGGAGACATGGACATGAAGAAAAGTTTGGTAAGATTGGGGTTAACGTGAACCTCCAACCACTGAGACAGTGTTTGCAAAGCCATCTCATAAACTCTCACCATCTCCACTTCCTTGTATATTCCATCTAACTTCTCAAATGATCCCCACCTTTTATATATTTACTTAATGTATTACCCATTTGTTACATATTGAGAATAGTTGAGTTTAACTTCACAAGTAAAAAAACTTACAGTGACTTGATATGAGGCATTCTCCACCATAAATAAGAGTTGAAAACAATGATATTAGAGTTCGTCCAATGCCTCGCATGTTTCTCTATCGATTGGATCCGAACTATCCGATCAGGAAATCTATGGTTTGTCGGGTCGTCCGAGTTGGATTCCACCAGTAAAGGAGCCCAATAGTAGTCTATTGTCGCATTGTATTCCTGATTATTTATCCGCAAAGGCAGTCTCATATTATTTTGAAGATCACGTTGAACATTTTAATAAACAAATGTCATTCTAACGATATAGAAACTAAAGGCTTTATTAGTTTTTAGAAATGTTGAAAATTTCTTCAAAATATAATTTAAAAATTGGATTTTGAACAAAGGCACTATTTGCATGCAGCTTGATTGCATGTTCTAAGAGATGGTTCTAGTCCACACCAT